GTGGTCGGCCACCTCATCCTTAACAAGCATGACTCATCTGCTGTCAGCAGGATTCCCAGCTGTCAGCAGAATGTAAACAAAAGATGCGTCGGTTAGCAAAAAAAAAACAAAATAAAACAGTCCTTTGGGTCTGGTATGGATTTTGAGGGGAACCCCATGCCACAATTCAAAAAAAATGGTGTGGGGTCCCCCCCCCCCCACCATTTGAAGAGGAACCACATGCCAACATTGTTTTTTAAAAATGACTTGGGGGGGGGGGGGGCTCCCCATAATCCCTACCAGACCCTTATAAACCAGGCCACATGCCTTCAACATGGGGGGGGGTGCCTTGGGGGAGGGGCGCTCCCCGCCAAAGCACCTTGTCCCAATGTTGATGGTGACAAGGGCCTCTTCCCCACAACCCTGGGTGGTGGGTTGTAGTTGTGGGGGTCTGCAGTTGGAGGGCTTATCAGAATCTGGAAGCCCACTTTAACAAGGGGGCCCAGAAAAGTTTTTGAGAAGCCCTTTATTTTTTTTATTTTGGAGTGGGGTTCCCCTTAAAATCCATACCAGACCACAGGGTCTTGTACGGATTTTGGGGAGACCCCATTTTTTCTTTTAATTTTGGTGTGGGGTTCCTCTCAAAATCCATACCAGACCCTGATCTGGTTTTTTTTTTTTTTCTTTTTTGTAATTTTTGGTTAACCGGCACTTCTTTTGTTTACATACTGCTGCCATCAGGAAATCATGCTGATATCAGATGAGTCATTGTTGTTAAGGACATGACATCTGCCTGCTCCTTAACAATTGTCTCTTCCCAATGAATCTGAATGATCCAAAAATTTAGTTATAACTTTTTTGGATTTGTTCACATTCATTACTATGTCCATTTGGAAATTTGGATCCATCTGAATCTCCGAAAATGAAAATTTCATCCACGAAACAAATCTGAACGAAACAAATAGCAGATGCCTAGATATGATATCCTCACTGAATGCACTGGTGGTAATAATACTGACAGCTATTATTAGTCTAGACATCAGAGTCAGAATTTTATAAAGAGGTGCATCCCCCTTAACTAGGGTGAAAGCATAAATAATTTAAGTCTTAGGGATTGTGGGTGGTTATAGAATAGTGTTATGTGGAGGTTTTCTGTTTGTGTGTGTGTCTTGTTTTTGTCTGTTGGTTGACCTGGATAGACTTGTGTCTTTTTCAACCAGATTAACTATGTACTGTAACTATGAATGTTTTCCAGGAGTGTCATAGTTTGAATATTTTCTGTATTCACTTTGAAAGTTTAAGGACATTTATGGAAAATACTGTTATAATGTGGTTCAAATTTCAGAAAACTCCTACATATGTCTGCTTAAGTTCTGAATAGCACATTTTAATACTGCTTTCATTATCCACTTCAGCCCTGGAAGATTTACCCCCCTTCATGACCAGGTCATTTTTTGCTATGGGGCGCTATGTTACTTTAACTGACAGTTGCGCAGTCATTATAAAATTAAATTAAATAGTATTTGTGAGCCACTTATTATGATTAGATAAGGTTCGCTGACATTAATCACATCCGCAGACAATGTGTGTATATAAAATAAAAAATATATAAATGTTGCGCTCCTAATTATTGTTAATAATGTGTATCAACTTACACTCTATTTTAAATACTGCCAATTGAAATGAAATAAATGTGAAAAAACAACAACATATGCCACCTGAATAAATTACTCAAAACCAAATTAATAAAAAATTAAATAAAGTCTCTGGTGACAAATAATGACAGTCCCAAAAAAAAAAAAACTATAGTGATCCAAAAATATATAAAGTGAATTAATAAACAATAAAAGTCTCTGGTGATGAGAAAAAATAGTGACAATCCCAATATTGACAAGAAGTGATTCAAAAAATGATGAATTGTGATTTTCAGTGACTCCTTAATGTGATTAGGTTATGCGCTCACCTCCTTTTAAGCCTATTAAAAGGCTTACTCCGCTTTTTGTTCACAAATGGAACTCTGTATAATATGCTGCACCATGTAATGGGTGGTGGGTATCCCTTAATTGCTTTCCAGTGCTCCTCTCCTCATAGGCCCATATCCCTGCAGGGATCTCTCACTCCTTCTGCTGCTGTTTATCTCCTCCTTAGATGTTCCTCAGTAAGAAAGAAATTGGGACATAGTGCCTTATCCTTTAAGACTAAAACTTTATTTTGTGCCCAAATAATGCACTCTCTTTTCATATATTAAAAAACCGCGTTGTTGAAATGACAATCTTTAGTTGTGTGCACTGCACACAGAGAATACTTGCCATTCACGGGTGCAGAGTGATGTCGCAGCCCCTCTCCTACGCATTACGCCACAGGTCACGTGGCTTCATCAGGGGGTTGTGATTGGACATTCACTTCACCCTTACTACTTTATATAGTCAATCTCTGCCATTTTCTTGTAGTTAACATGGACGCGGCCATCTTTTTACTTGCATGTCCATACGGTGGAGTGATACGTAGTATCTATAAATCTAAAAATAGAAACTTAATTACTAAATTACAATCACCGGCAGAAGTGATTGCTGTCAGTGTAGTTATCGGCCCCAAAAAGATGGCCGCGTCCCTGTTAACAACAAGAAAATGGTGGAGATCGACTATATAAAGTAGTAAGGGTGAAGTGAACGTCCAATCACATTCCCCTGATGAAGCCACGTGACCTGTGGCGTAACGTGTAGGGGAGGGGCTGCGACATCACTCTGCACCCGTGGACGGCGAGTATACTCTGTGGCATATATTGTTGTTTTTTTTACATTTATTTAGTTTCAATTGGCAGTATTTAAAATAGAGTGTAAATTGATACACATTATTAACAATAATTAGGAGTGCGACATTTATATATTTTTTTAATTACGCAGTCATGCCACGTTGTACATAAATTAAATTTATAGCATTTTTTCCCCACAAACAGAGCTTTCTTTTGGTTGTGTTTCATTTTTTATTATTTGCTCTATAAATGAAAAAAAGGGCAACATTTTTTTTTACAAAAACAGTATTTTTTTCCTTTCTGCTTTAAAACATATTGAATAAAAAAAATAATAATTTAGTCGTAAATTTAGGGCTAACCAGTGTTTTTGTGTCTACATTTAGGTGTTTTTACTAGGCATTGTGCTGGATTTTATTCACTGCTTTGCAGGGAAATGAAATCTAGCAGTTCACTGCTGACGGGATACAGCTCTGCCTTGTTTACAGTACATAGGCAGAGCTGTGCCCTGTCACTGTCCTCAGCAATGAACAGGTGTTCATCCAATTGGCCGGAACCTGTTGATCGAGTTCTGCTGTGTCCAATCACAGCAGAAGCGTGCTCCAGCAGCACATGCACAGAACGTCTGCCCTGTAGCAGTAAATCTGATATAGGGCAGACAGAAAGTGGTTATTGTTACTCTACAGTGATTTCCTATTGGAAAAGCCATATGCATATTTAATTTCTAATCTATTTCTTTTTTATACTTTTATTATTCAGCTCAACATCACATTTGTCCTGTTATTTTTCTCATTGTCTTTAAGCTTCCCACACCAATAATTTTGGTAAAAAATGACTTACTGTATTCTTAATTACTTATGTCTTGTCTGGTTAATTTGTTTAAATTAATTAAGTTTTTTCCTTGACATTTATATGTAGTAGTTAGACACTTTGGTCAAAGAAAAAAAGTAGACGACGACTGTATTATTCTTCACATCCTAGTACTTCAAGAAATATGGAAATTAGATTAATCTAATTTGAAATTTAGGTAGACAGTTGCATATTTCTAGTGTGGCTGAAAGATCTCATCCTTAACCCTTTGAAGGGTTTCAGGGTACCCTTTCAAGCCAAATGGGACATGGAGATCCTGCAACATACCTAATCATAATTTGCTGTTAGAGTATTTTTCACAAACTTACCCCACAATTTTTTTTTTGAAATGGTAGATGGATGTAGGTTGGGTGGAAGGACGAAGGGTGTTTGTATCAAGGATAGCAGTGAATCCTATATGTTACCAGATGAAAGCAAAATACTATCAATGAGAGCAGGCTCTAGCATGGTCTGTTTTTTTCTTGAGACATGGGTTGTGTGAATTGTTGACTGCAGACTGTCAATAGATTGTGAAATGATGAGACATCGCTGATCCTACATGGCCCTGAAACATTGGCTTACTTGACTGATGTGACATTGCACTAATAAAAGAGTGTGTATGTTTGCAACAGAGTTCTGGTGATGTCTCATCATTTTACTATGGGTTATGCGCTGCTATCCATTACAGTCACTACGAGCATTCATGTGTTACTAAGGTCAAACAATGGAAGGAGTGCAGTTTTCATCTTTTGATTCATGACACTAGAACATGACACTAAGGACTGCCTAGCTAGTGACAGCTGACTGTACAAATAGGATTACAAAAACATGAAATCATTAATCAAAAATTAGGTCATGCTATAGGTTAGAGAGAGGGTTAGGCAGCAAGTAGAAAAAAGGACAGTAGGAGTCATAACAAGAGGTAACTTGTGAACAAAAAGACAGAACATTATTTAAAAAAAAAAGCAGCTCAGCAGTTCAGGATACAGTGACTCTGGAACTGCACTGATCCAGATTTATCCTGTGGTTGTTAAAGTCTGCAGCATGACCACACTGAATATCTTCTAGTACAGCGGTTCTCAACCTGGGGGTCGCGACCCCTTTGGGGGTCGAACGACCATTTCACAGGGGTCGCCTAAGACCATCGGAAAACACATATTTCCGATGGTCTTAGGAACCGAGACACCGCTCCTGTCTCCGGCGATGTGTGGGCGGGATGATATGCTGCCCCTGTCACCGCCTCCTCGCCGCTGATTGGCCACCGGAACTGTAGCTCAGGAGAGGCACACAGGCGGCCAATCACCGGCGAGGAGGTGGAGCTTGGAGAGGAGGAGCCGAGCGGCAGCGTGCGGAGATCGAAGAAGATCGAGGGAGCTGCAGGAACGAGTGAAGAGAGAGGCCAGAGAAGGAAGACAGCTGACAGGTAAGTGCAAATTTTGCTGCTGCAGCCAGGTATGCAGGCTGTAGATGCGAGAGGGAGAGAGCGAGCCCAGGCTGGAGCAGGAGTCAGCAAGGTAAGTATCATTGGTGTCAGTGGGAGGGATAGTGCCCCATCATTTGTGTCACTAATACCAACGATGGGGCACTATTCCTCCCCCCACTGACACCAACGATGGGGCACTATTCCTCCCCCCACTGACACCAACGATGGGGCACTATTCCTCCCCCCACTGACACCAACGATGGGGCACTATTCCTCCCCCCACTGACACCAACGATGGGGCACTATTCCTCCCCCCACTGACACCAACGATGGGGCGCTATTCCTCCCCCCACTGACACCAACGATGGGGCACTATTCCTCCCCCCACTGACACCAACGATGGGGCGCTATTCCTCCCCCCACTGACACCAACGATGGGGCGCTATTCCTCCCCCCACTGACACCAACGATGGGGCGCTATTCCTCCCCCCACTGACACCAACGATGGGGCGCTATTCCTCCCCCCACTGACACCAACGATGGGGGCTATTCCTCCCCCCACTGACACCAACGATGGGCGCTATTCCTCCCCCCACTGACACCAACGATGGGGCGCTATTCCTCCCCCCACTGACACCAACGATGGGGCGCTATTCCTCCCCCCCACTGACACCAACGATGGGGCGCTATTCCTCCCCCCACTGACACCAACGATGGGGCGCTATTCCTCCCCCCACTGACACCAACGATGGGGCGCTATTCCTCCCCCCACTGGGGCGCTATTCCTCCCCCCACTGACACCAACGATGGGGCGCTATTCCTCCCCCCACTGACACCAACGATGGGGCGCTATTCCTCCCCCCACTGACACCAACGATGGGGCGCTATTCCTCCCCCCACTGACACCAACGATGGGGCGCTATTCCTCCCCCCACTGACACCAACGATGGGGCGCTATTCCTCCCCCCACTGACACCAAACGATGAGATGGGGCGCTATTCCTCCCCCCACTGACACCAACGATGGGGCGCTATTCCTCCCCCACTGACACCAACGATGGGGCGCTATTCCTCCCCCCACTGACACCAACTGCTATTCCTCCCCCCACTGACACCAACGATGGGGCGCTATTCCTCCCCCCCCACTGACACCAACGATGGGGCGCTATTCCTCCCCCCACTGACACCAACGATGGGGCGCTATTCCTCCCCCCACTGACACCAACGATGGGCGCTATTCCTCCCCCCACTGACACCAACGATGGGGCGCTATTCCTCCCCCCACTGACACCACGACGATGGGGCGCTATTCCTCCCCCCACTGACACCAACGATGGGGCGCTATTCCTCCCCCCACTGACACCAACGATGGGGCGCTATTCCTCCCCCCACTGACACCAACGATGGGGCGCTATTCCTCCTCCCCCCACTGACACCAACGATGGGGCGCTATTCCTCCCCCCACTGACACCAACGATGGGGCGCTATTCCTCCCCCCACTGACACCAACGATGGGGCGCTATTCCCCCCCACTGACACCAACGATGGGGCGCTATTCCTCCCCCCACTGACACCAACGATGGGACGCTATTCCTCCCCCCACTGACATCAGTGATGGGGCGCTAGTCCTCCCACTGCAAAATTACAGTTATGAAGTAGCAACGAAATTAATTTTATGGTTGGGGGTCACCACAACATGAGGATTTGTATTAGGGGTCGCGGCATTAGAAAGGTTGAGAACCACTGTTCTAGTAGTTGGCATAGGTGGGCACTGAATGCAGAAAGATCAAGCAATTAGACTGCAAGAGGTACACAGTTTTGGGCTGTTTGTTATACATTCATTGGTTGAATGGGGGATGAAATGATTAGAGATTGTGTAAAATAGGGAGCAGATAGCATTACCTGTAGATAATGTTGACCATGTAATATTTGATTTGTTTCACTCTGAAGTCTACATTTGTAGGTTTACATATATAAAAAATGCCTATTTTTCACCAAATATTTCCACTGGAATACCTTGTGTAAGGAAAGCCATTAACCCTTAATAATGGACGATATGTGCTGGCCTCCCTTATAGTCCTCTACTGTAGGTTTCCGTTGCCCAGTCCCCACTTTTGAAGACTAAATATTTTTTTTTTTTGTGGATTGAGCAGCAGTAATTGTAATGATTGTGCGCAGTAGGGACATGGAAGCTGTGCACGACAGCCATCTTGTTAAGGTCCCAGTCATTTTGTTTCATGAGCAGTGACCTACCTCCTCTTGCAAACTGTGGAATTTGTAGCTGTAAGTTTTAACAAAATTCAAAAGAGCTTCTTATCTTAACTAAAACACAATAGATTCTAGTGTCCAGCCTGGTCAGAGCTGTAAACAACTAATTAGTCTTGGCAGGATGTCTGTTTCCACGAACCATGAAAAACTCTTTTTTCTGCCCATGTGTAAGGCCATTAAAGCTCTAGGAATGCAGAGTGTGCCATAAAAAATCTATTCCAGAACCTTACAATTCCACATACAATTCATAGAATTCAACAAGAACAGGAAACATTAGTATTAAGTATATATTTGAATGGGGAATATCATACCAAATAAATCAAGATCATACATAACTACCTTAGCACATACAAAAGGATTGAAAGCAGTCTCCTGCCTCATGGGTGACAAAGATATGCTGTGTTTGGTATCCTTGGATATAAAATATAATTCTGAATAAGATTCTGTCAATTTCTAGAATACCACTTGCACGTATTGGAAGTTATTAGTATTAGTATGAAACTGTAGTTGGGACTTGGTCATGACCTCCCAGCACCCATCCCTTAAACCGGATGATTGGTCAATTGTTCTTTGGTGACACCCCTTTGATATCACAGAAAAAGGGGATGACAGGACCTGATAAGAAAGCTCTCATTTTAACATCAATCAAGGAACACCCAAGAGAGCCACAACAACGTTTTTGCTTAGACAATTGGACTCTGCTAAAAATAGGACTTTGCAAGTATTCTCCATATTCACCTCTCATTTCTCTGGTGCAATATTGTTCTTTTTATGTCTTTGTAACATCCTTTTCTGTAAATATGTTAACCACTTGACAACCAGGCTATAGCCTAATAACGGCTACAGCGTGGTTGTCCAGTTCTGGAGGGCATCATATGATCTTTACCTTCTCGGTAAAAAGGAGGTCGTGGCAGTTTAAATGGTTAATTGCTTGATTAATGAACCCAGTGACAATTGCTCTCAGATGACCAAGCTTTGTGAGGACCTTAGAAAACTGAACTCCATCCCTGCCTTTACAATCGCTCTCAGGCTGCTGGCACATAGATTGTGGTCCCCTGAGCTGGAAAGTCTTTGTGCAGGTTGCAGCTGAGAGTGGTATTGTTACGCAAGTGACAGCGCGGTGTGAGATCTGCTGGTCATTTGTCACGAGTTGGTGAGAAGGGCAGGGATCAGGCACTGCATTGATCACAGTAATAGCTAACAGTATCACCTTCCCCAGCTACCCTCCTGCATGTATGTGTTTTTTGTTAAGGAATGACACACCTTCTGGTATACCACAAGACTTTATAGAGATCTCCCAACTCTCACTTGTACACCAGTGTACATATCAGTTGGGGCTATTTTTTAATACAATGTTATCCACTCTGAAGATTTATACTTTTCAATTATCCTTAATAAGCAAACATAAAATACAAATGATCCCTTTCTCCAGCTTACAATTATGAAAATATTGGAGATCTGTATTGGAAGTTGGGGTGGATGGCCCGATCTAAGATGTGTTGCCTGTAATGATCTGGACAACATCAAGCCATTAAGGACTTTTTAAGGGGGTGATAAGTGACTGGCCTTTCCACTGAATGTGCTCTTTATTGCAAAGAATGTCTTGAGCCTTGTTAGAAAAATTCTGCACATCATTGCTAGTTCTATGCTTTCAATGGACAAGTTATGCAGTTGATCACAAGGGTACGTGACAACAATAAATAACAGGTGTCAGTTCTAGAAAAACACCTGCCCATCTTTGCCAGTTTGATTACCACTACTAATGACTGATTTGCTACACTTCTCACAGATGATTTTCAGTTACAGAGTTTCCATTATTCTAATTTTCTGGAATGACTAAAGCTCAACAAAAGGCTTTCACCAGAGCTATATAAAAGAAATGATGTCTAGGACATGTTATCATTTAGTACTTATGTATGTCACTTTGTATGTGTTATTTTTAACTCTGACATTGCAGGTAACATGTAATAACAACAATAAGTGGCAACAAACAACATAAAACATAGATAGTAATTTGTTTTTAAATCAACTAATGATTATAGCTGTTTCTAACTTATGAAACACCTTAAATTGATTTTTGTTTCTTGAGTATGGTGTTAATGGCATTTCCTGACTCATGACTCACTTGTGCTATTTCTGAAACTAGCATTTTCATCTTTTTTCTTTCTGTTAATGCATGTTCACCTGCAAATCAAGCTGGCACCCTCATCTGTAGGACTTTTTTTTAGCAATCACACATTTGCCAGGTAGTGCTCCAAAGCAGCAGAACATGCTGCTTTATAGAAGGATGTAGTGTGCTATTTTTCATTATGATGGTAAAAATAACACACTAATGGAAAGGTGAAAAGTGTGTAGTTATCTTCTTTTGCTAAAAAGGTAATTTAACGTTCTACCATGTCCAGTTCATTCACTGTCCATATTATTTTTAAACATATTTTAAAAATCAGATGTTAAAAATGTAAACCTTTTCAATTATAGTTGCTGCTAAAGATGAATGTAGTGGTTTTAGCCAAGCATTAGCTCAGCATGGTTTCTTCCTCCAATTTACAGCATAAATTGCAGCACAGCAGTCCAACATAGTATGCAATTTTATATTTTCCATAGAAACACATTTTCACACAGCTTTAAATATCAGAATTCTGACTTTTAATCCCAGAAGTCTGATTTTAAACCTTAGAATTCCTATTTTGAAACTCAGTATTCAGACTTTTAATCGAAGAATTCTGACTTTAAACCCCAGAATTTGCTTTTTAGAGTTTTAGAGTGGCCCCAGGGCTCTTCCAAGGTATCCAAAAGTAAGGTATCCAAAAGTCATAAGAGTATCATGGCTGTAATCCTTTTCACCAGGAT